CTAGTGGTTCTACACTTAATGCTCCTCAACCTCCTTCCTGAGGGGAGTGGGGCAAAAAGTGTGTGTGCTGGGTGGGTGGGGTCCTTCATGATGCAGGTGGCCCTCTTCCTGCATCTGGAGGTGTAGATGTCTGTGATGGTGGCGAGGCTGACTCCAACATCTTCTGTGCAGCCTTCACCACTCTCTGCAAAGCTTTTCTTTCTGCAGCTGTGCAGCCTCCATGCCACACGTTGATGCTGGAGCACAGGATGCTCTCCACTGCACACCTGTAGAAGGAGGTGAGGACTGAGCTTCCAGACCAGCTCGTCTCAGCCGTCTGAGGAAGTAGAGTCTCTGATGATCTTTCTTCATCAGGCTGGTGGTGTTGTTGCTCCAGCTGAGGTTGTTGTTCAGGTGCACACCCAAGTACTTGTAGCTGGAGACCACTTCCACTGCAGATCCTCTTATGTTCAGTGGGGTGTAGATGTTTTTGTTCCTTCTGAAGTCCACAATCATCTCCTTCATCTTTTTCACATTGATGTGAAGGTTGTTCTTCCTGCACCAGCTCTCCAGGTGTTCCACCTCCTGCTTGTAGCTGGACTCATCATTGTTTGTGATGCATCCCACCACCGCTGTATCATCTGCAAACTTTACAATGTGACAGCCTGGATGGGTAGCTGCACAATCATACGTGAGCAGAGTAAACATGAGGGGGCTCAACACACATCCCTGAGGAGAGCCAGTGCTGAGGGTTATGGTGGAGGAGGAAAAATTGTGGATCCTCACTGACTGTGGTCTGTTTGTTAAGAAGTCTAGGACCCAGTTGCAAATGGAGGGGCTTAGTCCTAGTGTGAGTAGTTTGTCCATCAGGGTTTGGGGGATCATGGTGTTGAAGGCAGATGTGAAGTCCACAAAGAGCATACGGACGTAAGAGTTTTTCTGCTCCAGGTGGTTGAGCGCAGTGTGGACCACAGAGGAGATTGCATCCTCTGTTGATCGGTTCTCACGGTATGCGTACTGATGAGGGTCCTCGTTGATGTTGATGGTTGTTTTGATGTGAGTCATGACCAGTTTTTCAAAGCATTTAGCGACTATCGGGGTGAGGGCCACTGGCCGATAGTCATTCAGACCAGTCACTGTACAGCTCTTTGGAACTGGGATAATGGTGGCGGTCTTCAGGCAGGTGGGAACTGTCTCCAGGGTAAGTGAGGTGTTAAATATGTCTGCCAGCACCTCACAGAGCTGATAGGCACATTCTTTCAACACTTTCCCGGGGATGTTGTCTGGGCCGGTTGCCTTGTGTGAATTAATCCTCCTTAGTACTCCTTACTGAGGTCAGGCTGAGATGCTCTTCATCCTGAGGTGAGGTGAGTCTGGTGCTGGGTGGTCTGTTCAGGTCTTCGAAGCGTGCATAGAACTTATTGAGGGCATTAGGCAGAGATGGGTCTTAGGGGCATTGTTCACTCGTGCCTTTATAATCTGTTAATGTCACTCCACATGCTTCGAGGGTCTTGTGAGGTGAATTGACCCTCGATCCCCTGTGCATATGTGGCCTAGGCCTTCTTAATACCATCAACCAGCAATTTCCTTGTCCTACTCAGCTCCTAGAGACCTGAAGGCAGTGTTCCTGGCTTCCAGTAGGGCGTGAACATCTGTCTTCTGCTCGGGAAACTTTTAACATAATTAAAGCTGGAGGCGTTGTCAGTATATGTACTAATGTACCCTAGAACTGAGGATACATATTGATCAAGATCTATTGTCCCTTCATTTTCAACCACTTCTCTGAATATATATATATATATATATATATATATATATATATATATATATAT